TTTAGGCCCCTTCGTGACAGCCTCTGTCAGTTCGTTATTTCTTCTTCCTGCCATCTGAAATTTTATAGATTAGTTTATTATACTAGAAACATGGTTAGCACATTTCCCCAAGTGACACATGGAACGTTGCTCTGATACCATTCACTGCGATGATTATACGTTGTATGGGAGCAGGGCAGGGATAGCCTGGAGATAGCTGCTAGAGGCTACAGGAGGTGTCTGGAGATAGATTTTTTTTGTAGGCTACCTTATAGTAGTATATTTTGTTGTATATAATTGGTTGACGTTGGTTACTTGATTAACAACTTATGTTGTAAATATTTTATTATACTATTTTAGTATATATATTTTAGTAGTGTGTAGTGTTCGTAGTGTGACGGCCATGGTGGGTCGTTACAGGTCTTACCGTCAATTTCATATTTATTGAACATTAAATTTTAATTTTGTTTAGTGATTTGTCATTACTTAAGTGATGTGATGTATATAGATGAAAATTAAAAATAACATACAAAATTATCTTTGTTTATATATATTTTCACGAATAATTAATATTTATTTTATTAATAAATCTTATTTTCATGTTTTTTAGTTTTTTTTTATATTTTCAAATATTATATTATTAAATATTATATCACTTAAGTATGAATAAATGTTAAAATTAATCATTAACAAATGTCAATTTGACGCGAGGACAAATTTCATTTTTTTTAAATTAGAAAAATTAAATATCTCTAATTTTAAAATAGAAGGATCAAAATTACAAACTAACGAAATTAGATGGGCCAAAAGTGCGATATAATGTTTTTATAATAATTCCAATTACTTCATTTATATATTATAAAATATAATGGTTCGCTCAAAATAACAATGTATATATATAGTAAATATTTCTTACATTTTGTTACAATACATATAAAAGGGAGAGTATTCCTAGGTATAGGGTGTCATTTTATTTATATGTATTCATCTCCAATGATGATTTTTATAAGCAACTTATTAATGTTCTTATTTTACTTTAAATGAGATTCATTATACCACATCATTTTTAAGTAACTTACATTACATTTTTATAAATTTTTCTCTAATGGTGATATTTCATAAAAAAAAAACTCACAATTTTATAATTTTTTTATTTACACTTTACTTTTTGACATCTTAAAAAATTAATATAATTATTATAATTAAATATTAATTTAATTAAACATAATAAATAATATTTAAATATATAAAAATTAATAATAAATTTTACACAATTAATTTAATGCATATAGAAAATATTACACAATTAATATATAACAGTGAGACTAGTTTTTGATTAATGAGTGATGAAAGGTTGGTGATGAATGACTGCTTATTTTATTCATGAGAGTGATTTGGGTTCTCTATTATTCGTTGAAAGAATTTAGACTAATATATGTAATTTTTTAATTTATAAATAACGTTACTTATTTAAGAGTCGTTGTTTATTTTTAAGTAATTTCTTTTGTCATATATTTACACTCCAACGAGAGTTGCTAATAGGCACCATTGTTTATTAATAAGATACACATACACTGCAAACACTTTTCATCAGAGATGCTCTTAATATTCTATTTAAATTAGTTTTAATTACTAAACTACACTTAAGCATACAGTTAAAAAGAATTACATAAAATATGTTTGTAACACCCTATTTTTTCTATTAAAATTATATTTTGTTAATTATTAATTGTTGTATTTTGTTATAAATATTGGGTTGACTTTGATAATTATTTTAATCATTTTTATATTTAAATGGGTATATTATAAAGTTTTATTATTAAATGATTTAATTATTTGTTATTATTTTAAGGGAAGAGTTTTGTAACTAGAGTTAATTGTTTTAACCGTTGGGTTTAAGAGGGAGTTAGTTTTTTTGAAAGGGGTTCTTGATTTTTCATTTTAAAAGGAGTTAGTTTTAATTTTTTTAACTTTTCATTTGCTCTATGAAAGCTTTGGAGAACCAAAACTAGTGGGAGATCACCCTAAAGAATCACGTCATCTTCTAGTGCTCATCAAGGTAAAGTAGAGTAAGTAATCTCGCTTTAGGCGTGGAATATATGTTGGGTAGTAGGATAAACCTCTGATCCCTTCTCTATTACTTATATTGTGTGAAGGGAGTTTTCCCAATTAATTGTATGATGTGTTTTTGGTCTTCTTTATGATTCCTCGTTGTTTTTTTTGGTGTTATGTATTTGTTATGCTTCCAATTTTGTGATTGAGTCAGTATTTTTGTATTTTGGATTGCACGTGGATTCTTGTAGGAACCCTAAAGCAATGCGTTTAGGTATTATTTTGTGAACAGTTAATAGAAGTAAGTAATTATGTGAAATCCTTAACTTTTAGATGTGTAATATGATTATTTTGGAGTATTTTATTGGTTGAGTATGCAAATTGATGGATTGGAGAAAGAATATGAAAATCATAAGTTGCAAGGTTTTGTTCACGAAAACAGTGATGTGCATCATTTCCAACGTTGAGCGTCACAATGGCAAAGAGCATGGCTTGCTCTTTCTGTCACCCATGTTGACCATGAGTTTCAGGTTGAGCATGCTTGTCACGTTGAGCCTGGCTCAACAAAGAGTAGGGAATGCTTTTTGGAAGTCTTGTGCTAAACACTATTTCTATAGTTTGTGTTTTCTTTTCTCTTTTGTGTATAATGTCATCTACAACTTCCATGGATGTAATGTAATCCTTATGCTACTTATTGTTAATTCCTAGTGATGCATATAAGATTGTTAACATTGTGAATGAGAATAATTGATCAAGTGAATGATGTGCTACTTTGGTATATTGATGAGATTATTGTGACAAATGAATTGACATACAATTGTAAGGTGTATTATTATAATATAATAGTGCATTAGGGTCTTGCTTGACATGCATCATATGCACAAATGTTTTTGGAAGGATACGATATAGAACACACTATTAGGGAATACCCCATTGTGTAAAAGCTTGGGAATTACTACTAAGGGATAGTTGAGTTTATGAAACCCTGATTTTATCTATTGTATGCTTAGGGTAGAGCTTGTGTGGCTCCATTTTTCTAACTAGACCCTGATTGTATATATTCCTAGTGAGAGTGAGTAGAGGGTATGACTCGACATGTACTCATAAGTTACTCTATGTGTTGTCTTAGGATAATACATCACATAATTGTTTTGACTTGCACCACATGTATGATTATTTGTAGTTCGATTCCATTACATAGTGCATGTAAATGAATTATTGTATTGACTTGTTATGGTTATGTGAATTTATATTGTGATATTAATTAAATTGCGCTTTATTGTGTTTTAAATAATTGCATCATGTTTCTAACATTTCTATGTTTATATCTTTGTACCTTTGCTTGTATTTAGCTACCCGACTACATTCTAAGCTACAAGACAAAGTGAGATGTTTCTCACCTTCCTTGTTTTGTGTTGTCCTTCTTGTATGTTATTGTATGTAACTAGGGATGACAATTAGGCAGGTACGAGTTTCACTATCTTCGTTCCTGTAACCTATACCCACCCTCGTCCCCATACCCAATAGGTATGAAATTTGTGTTCCCATTCTTATACTTGTCAGGTATGGGACATACTTGTAACCACCTTGTACCCATCCAAAAAATATAAAAATAAGAATTTCACATATAATAACAATTACAAAATTACATTAATTAAGTTTTATTTAACATGAATTAAAAATAGGGTAGTAATTACATAAATGTAAAGTAAATTCTAAAACTAAATTAAGTATCTAAAAATCTAAAGCAGGTAAATGTACAAGGTAGGTATATGTATACCCATCCCTATCCTCACACCTAATTTGATAAATTGGGTATTACCTGTACTTATACCCGTACTTGTTAAAGTGGGTATTTTTCGTCAAAGTCAGGCACATTCGGACATTACTCATGGAGTACGAGTTTAGTTGTCATCCCTACAAGTGACTTGCATCTTGATGTTGAGTTTACTTGTCGTTCCTACAAGTGTCTTGACGTTGAAGGTTAGTCCTTGGGTTTTGATTGTACTCTCTGATAGGATGTGAAATCAAGATTTAGTTAGAATTTGTGTTTCTTTTAGTTATGTTTGAATATAATTGTTAAATTGCATTTTTATTTGAGTTGGATTTCAGTTGTCTATTATTTTCGTTAAAATATGATACTTTTTATGTCGAATCGTTGAAATTTCATTTATGATAGATTTAATTATTTAGTTTAATTATATGATAATGTGTCGAGTAAAGAGTATGGTGTTAAAATTCTGAAAGAAACAAAGTTTTAAAACAGTTAAAAAAATAGAAGAACCAAAGTTTTTAAATGAAGGAAGTAACAGAATTTAAATATTTAAAATATATATTTCTTATAAATTATAAGAATATAAAATAAATATTTATTCTCTGCATAATATACGCTAAAAATACTACTTTTTATAAAGAACAAAAATTATACGTGACATATTTTTATGGATAAAAATATAAGGAAGATAAAATATTTTTAAGAGATTAAAAACCAACACGATCATATTTGTGAAGCAAAATCATTCAGTGAAATTAGTAAAAAATACGTTCATGTCTCTGTAAATTCTTTAAAATAAAATCAATTTAAAAGTGACATGTTAATTTAAGGTATACGCGGTTATAAAGTGAAATGTTTAGAAAAGTAGTAATATAAAAATAAAATAAAAAAAAGTTACAAAAGTAAAATTAAAAAAAATTATGTAAAAAGAAATTCAATTCCGTTTGGTTACAGATTATATATTATAGATAAAATATCCTTGGACATGTTATTCAATAATAGCTTGCCGTCGCAATAGTGTGCAAAAATGAGTAGCTCTCGAAGCCACACACTTATCACATCTAACGCTTCCCTAACAAATATTTTTTTTTACAATACAAATAAAAAATTATTAAATAATTTTAAACCATATAAATTTTAATTAATTTTTTTACAGCGTTAACTTGAAAATCTTAAATACATCTTGTAATAATAATTGATGGGAGCATAAATATTTGATTGTAATTTGTGGTAAAGTAACTACCTAAAAGTAACAGAAGAAACGCCACCGAGTAAATGAGTAGTGCTGTTCTGTCTCTTCTTTATTTCCATTTTCTTCACTCTCTGTCTCTCTTTGAAATAACTTCCTCCACTTTCCCTCCGCCGCCATGTCGCCGTCCTCCGCCGTCCACGGCGGAAGCCACCGCTGCCTCCGCGAAGAAACCAACGGCTACGGCAATGACCACGCCGAAATGCCCGTTCCCTCGACGGCCTCCTCGTCGCTGCGCAGCCTCGTCGAGGCGGTTCCGTCGAAGGAGCGGGAGAAGGTCCGGCGAATCCTCGTGGCTTCCGCGAAGGGTTTCTCGATCGGAGCCGGCATCAAGGGCGGCCTCGCGCTCTTCGCGATCGTGGCGCGGTTGACGCGGAAAAAGCCGCCAAGGTGAGAAGAAAAAGAAATAATAAATAAACGGCTTTGTTTCTCTCGAGTGCTTTTTCGCGTTTACGATAAGCGTTGCGATTTGTTCGTTCAGGAAGGGGATTGTGGATACGAACGGCGAAGCAATTGTGGCGGCGCTGAAGGAGACGCTGAGATACGGTTTGTTTCTCGGAACCTTCGCTGGCACGTTCGTGTCCACCGACGAGGTTATCGGTGCTCTCGCCGGTCACCGTAGGCATGTTCTCTTTCTCTCTCTGTATCTCTCGCTGAAATGCATGTAACACTCTGTAACTATTGTGGAAGTGATTCAAATCTCAGCAATTCGAATCTTGAGCTGAAAAAATAAGGTGTGAATTGAACATCTTGCATGTGCCGGTTGGTAACCGTGATTTGGCTCGCATAATTGAATTAGGTTCTGTTTGGATAACGCGGGAGAGGAAACTAAAAAGTAAAATGTATCGAACTTCTTTTATTTGAGTTGATTTTAACTTATGCAGCTTTTGGAAAAATTGAATGGAGTTGAGGTGGATAAGTTGATTTTAAATTACAGAAGAAGTTTAATTTATTTGTCCAAAGAGGGTGTTGGTGTCTTGTGCTTTGGAGTCATAGTTGTTGTTTGGTGTTGTGGAGTGGAAGTGGTGGTGATTGGGTTTGTGTTGTGGTTCAGGACAGCGAAGTGGAGGGCTTTTATAGCAGGGGCGGTTGCGGGGTCGTCGATGCTTCTGACGGGATTAGAGGATCAGCACACGAGTTTGGCGATTTACATTCTCATGCGTGCTGCTGTCTTGGCGTCTCGTTGTGGGATTAAGAGCAAACGGTTTGGGAAAATTTGTAAGCCTCTCACGTGGAAGCATGGTGACATTTTCCTCATGTGTCTCTCCTCCTCACAAATATTGTATGTGATCATGTTACTTACCCTCTCTCTCTTTTGGTAACTAAATTTTACTGGGGAAATTGTCATGTTATTACTTTTTTGACATGATTGTCCTTGTGCTGGCGTGCTTCTTTATTTTTTGTTTCTACTTTTTAGCTTACCATCTCTTTTCAAATTTTATGGCCAAGTCTTGTGATTTCTCTTAATCATGGTTTGGGTATTTGACTTGATGGCTTCACTCAGTATAAGGTTGTTGCATGATGTGGATCCCGGTTGTTTTTTCAGCCCATGGATAAAGCATGCCTGTACTCAATCAATATAAATAGCTACTAATTATGATGCATTGTTCATGAAAATGCATGTTTGTGTTTGTTTAAACTAGCTTAAAGTTAGCTAAAGCTTATAAGCTATAAGCTAAAAGTTGAAAAGTTTGAAATTTATAAACTAATTGATTGAAATGAAAGTGTTTGGAAAGATTATCTAATAAGTTAGCTTATAAATGTAAAATTATATAAAATGACATTAGTTATTTGAGGTTAAAAGAGATTTTAAATAAATAAATGAGGATAAAAATGGAAAAACAAAAAGCTGGTAGCTTATGAAAATAAGCTAGACGTTACTAAAATAATTTCACATACCAAATAAGTTTATTTTGGTCAAACTAGTTTATAGCATTTACAGTAAAGTAATTAAGGGTAGTTTGATCAAAGAAGTAAACAATGCAAGCAACAATTTAAAAAGGGTCTTATAAAGAGCAACAAACAAAAAGAAAGGTTATATGGAAAGGAAAATAAAATAACTGATACTGATAAACATGTTGCATACTTCAAAATTCTTCTTGATAACCCTTTAGATTTATCTCATGAAAAATGTTGCATTAATTTTGTAATAAGAAAACTTTGGATGCCACATACATTGTTGTTAATGAAAATATGTCTCGTCTCACAAGGGTGACATAACTAATTAAGTCTCTTTACTCCAACTAGTTAGGAGTCTAGGACCTAAGACTCAAATCCAATTTCCGCTGTATTTTATATCATTCTATGCAAACTTCTGCCAGAGATGGAGTAGACAATCTGTAATCCAACTAAAAATATTCAAAAAGATTAGTGGTTGGTTCTAGCCTTGTCCTAATCTAAATTTTCTGTAACAAAAAAAGAGAAGAAAATATATCACATTTTACAGCCATGATTGTTTCCACAAAGGTGCGCCCTTGGTAGTTTCTTTTTGGTGCCATGTTTCTGGAACTGAGACACTTTATGTCACCCCTCCCCGCTCCCTCCTTTTTCTTTTTTAATAATGATGAAAATATTTTTTCTTTTTCAAAAAGGATGAATGATAATGGAGATTTTTTTGATTTCAGGTCTGCTTATATACTAAAGCAAGACAGTTTGCCAGCTTCATATAAATCCTTTCTCAATAAACACGGTGGAAAGGATCCAGTTATCTTACAAGGTGTAAAAGATATAGCCAGTGGCAAGCCTTTCACTAATTTGGGTGCAATAGAGAAATACTACAAGACCATGGGTGTCGATGTGAAATTAAAACCAAATATGAAAGTCCCATGCTCGGTATGAAATAAGGATTTATGTGATTGTTGTCCTTCAATAAGCTTATACGGTTGACTTTTTCTGCAGGTCAACATGCTTAATATTTAAAAAGGATAAATAAGTATATAATTTTAATACATTAAAACAAATTTAACAGGTTAATACTAATAAAAAATATTATTTATATTTAACTTAATTAGGCTAGCCTGTTGGGTCTAAAAGGCTTTTTGAATGGCTTAAAGTCTAACTTTTTTAGCTAAATAGTTTTTTTTTTAATTTTTATAAAAGCTTGGGTCTAAATTGTTTCTTAAAATGCTTGGTCTGGTCTGGGCCTAATTATTTCTTAAAAAAGCTTGGTTTGGCCAGGACCGAATGTAGTCTAGGCCATAGGTTCCTGTCAGGCAGCCTAGCCTACTTCTACTCCTATGTTCAACTTTGCCTTTCTGGCCTATTGAGCTGTGTATTCTGTAATTTCAGTTTGAAACATGTTATCTAGATCTATTCAGTATTTAATTTTGTGACCCGGGATAGAAAAATTGTGATTTGTGTTTTGGCATTTAAAATCAATGATGTTTTGCAGATTGTACATGGGAATCAATCATGCAGCGGACACATTGTTTCTTTTCTCTTTCAAGCTTACAAAAGAGCACTACCTGTTTATCTTCCAGTTTATCTGATACCTGCACTTATAGTTCATAGAAAAGGACTTTCAAAAAGGTGATCATCTAATAGGAATACATGGCAACCAATTTACTCTTCAGCTGAACCGATGTAGAGCTTTTATGAAATATTTGTTATATCAGGATTTAATTTTTTTAAGAACCTTGATAAGATTATTGTTTATATTAGCTTTTCAAAGCGAATACATTATCAATGGCATATATGCTGATTTTGTCATGAAAAGGGCTTTCTTGGATAATAAATTATTCCATCTGATATTGCTCCCAACACTCAACTTTTGCACAATATGAAAAGATCATACTGTGTCATATACTTATGACATATTCAATATGAGATTATATTATTTTGCTCTTAACCATTATGAAAATGCTTATGTGCAGGCCCTACACAATATTAGCCAAAGGTCTTTTTGGCACAGCAAGATCAAGCTTGTTTCTGTCTGTTTATTGCTCTTCTGCCTGGTTAGCATCCAAAAAGTTGTTTCATGCACTACTATGTTGATACTGGTTGTCTTACTGTTAAGTTTGCTAGATTTTGAGTTGTTTGATATTTCCAACCATGTTGAAAAATGAAGTAACATGCTCTGCCCATATGGGATATGAGGGTCAATATGCTTAAATAAAAGTTCCAGTTGTCCAAATTCACATTAAATGCAATAATTACTTGAATAAATAAAAAACTGTATGCAATTCTTCCGGTAAAAAGCAGATTCAAAAATTAAACAGATACCAGTGTACAAATAATGCGATAATTTCTTCTTGTTTTTGCTTCAAAGTTCAAAAGATCTTCTATCATTGCTATACACCAGCTTCAATTTTAGTTATACGGTTTTGTTGAGAGAGGAAATGAAAACACCTGATTTTAAATACCTGTTTTCTTTCTTATGTTCAATTATTTTTGTCTATACTGTTGGAAAAGTAATATAGAAGTATAGAAGTAAAACCATTATGTTCTTCATCAAACAGCTCATGATCTGACGCTGTGTTATGAACCATCTATTCATTTGCTGATAGCAAGACATCAAGTGTGGATATAAATATAAAATACTTATAAAACTCGGACAGTTCTTCCTTGAACTAGGTTTTAGGGTTGAGTTAGGTTTAGGTCCATCTCTAATATGGTATCAAATCCTCTAAAATGTTCATTCTTGGTGCCACTTTTCTCTAATTAAAAAGTTGAGTGTCAGCAAAGATAGGTGTGTTAGAGATGTAATGTAAAATCATTCATGACTCTACTAGATAGCTAAAGCTTTTGTTGTAGATGGCTCATGATATATGCATTTACTAGCCTTTTCTTTTTCTTATTTTCTTTTGCTTCACCTCATTGTTACTTTGACAACATGAATTTCGTAGAAACTTAAAACTGACGTGTTTGATATGGATGTCTCTGCTTCTTCAGGATGTGGACGTGCTTTCTCTTCAGAATTTTTAGAAGATGTAACATTCCAATGGTGGCCATGGGAACGGTATGTTACCAACTGCACCCGTTTATTTTTATATGATTGATTGAAGGTATTCGAATTGTATTATTGGACAGAGTTTGTTCTGTCAATTGCATGAACACTTTTGTTATAAAAGTTGAACTCTGCATTCTGGTGCAGTTCCCGACCGGCCTTGCCTTGGCCATTGAGAAGAAAAGCAGGCGAATAGAAATATCATTATACTGCCTTGCCCGAGCCATCGAGAGTTTCTTCACATGCGTAGCTGATGCAGGATATTTGCCACAATCAAGAAGGATCAAGAGAGCTGATGTGGTGGTTTTCAGCTTGTCAACAGCCATTATAATGCATTGCTATGCAGAGGAGAGGGAAGTGTTTAGATCCAAATACTTAAATGTCCTTGATTGGGTATTTGGTGTACCTCCTCCTCCATGTGAAACCCCACGATGCAAAGAAGGGTAGGTGCAAGTGCTAGCCCAGCAGGGTATTTTATCTTCAAAAATTGCCCTCGTTGTTACATGATTTTGCCTTCTCAAAGTGATTGGTTGGCTGGAACCTGAATTTTTCAGGAAACACACATCCTAACGCATTGTTTCCAACACATTTTTTATTATTGGGTATAATTCATGTGTTCCTAAATAATGAACTCATCATTTGACGGAACTCGTGATTTTTACTCAATAGTCAATAGTGTATTGAAATGAGTGTTAATAGTACATCAGAATCCTTAGCCTCTTCCTAAATAAGGCCCACCCTTTCCATTTTAAAATCAGTTTTAAATATTTTTTTTATACATTAAGTGACGGTTTTGGATTTCAATAAAGCATTATATTTTTTATTTCATTTTTCTCTTAATAGATAATTAATGTGGTGAAATTAGTCCTGGAACAAAGAATAAATAATAAAACTAATTTAGTAAATTGCTTTCCATTAATTTTTTTATTTTTTTATTTACAATTTTTGCCAAATAAAAAGTCAAGTCACTTATTTTGGAGGGAGTACATTGATAATTCTGTTTGTGTTATGCGATGCATCCAATCAGATCCTTGCCATTCAGAAGTTGCTTGTTTATGCGTTATTTTGTGGGTTTTGGTGGTTGATGGACGTGGTGTTGATGTTTATCATATTTGGTATTGAGTTGAGAATTGGAAGGATTATTTAAGCTAGAAGCGGATGGAAGTGTAGGCGTAGTCTCAGGTTCATTTTTTTGTTCTTTTTTATTTTAAAATTGTATGTGGATTATAATTTTTTTTAAAATATAGTAATTTTAATTTCGCAAGTTTTTTCGAGTTATTTTATTTTTAAGTTGAGGAAATTTAATTCTTTTATTAACTTTATCTTACCTAAATCCTGAAATTACCATTTTGTTTACGAGGATATTTGTGGGCTTTATGATGAATTTGAGAAAATTTGTAAGTGAAAATTTTAGTATTTTTTTTTCAAAAAAAATAAAGGATATTTTTTAGATTGGGAATTAAAGTTTAAAAATTAGTTATTTAATGAAATTTAATCTTTTGATCGGTGAGTTTCGAATAATTTGTTTAAATAATTTAGTTGACTTTTAAACTATAAAGATCGAGTAAAATATGAGAATTTGTGGGTTTTAAGAAAAGAAAAAATGATATATAAATTAAGTTTGTTCAATTTAAAAATAAGAAAAGTAATTTACTTAAAAATAGTTGAGGAATTGAAGTAAAATAAATTAAATTAAAGAAATTTAAAACATAATTAAGTATACAATTTTTTTAGAATAAATGTATATATCCAACTTTATACTAAAAGTTGCTCATATAAGTTTATTAATACCCGTGTTCTTAATTAAAACTAGAGATCAGAGGTCAATCCTTATTTGTAATTGACAAAAAAATGTTCAAGTTTATTATTTGTTTTGAAGCAAAAAATGTTCAAGTTTATTAAGAAAAGAATAATTTTCTTTATGTATAACAATATTAAATTGGTCTTTGAAATCAACATCAGTAGCCAATAGTAGCGGTTGACATGCTCGAGTTTTTTTTTATAAAAAAAAAACAAATTGTGACTATATTGTCAAATGACACAATATATAGCACTATACTTCTTGTAGGTGTCCTTTTTCATTTGAAATTTAAATTTAAAATAGTCAATTCTTATATATAAGTTATCATGTTTAGTTCGCGTAAAAAATCTTACAAAACTTAAATCTATATAATAATATTTAATTTAAATAAAAAGTTGGTTAAATGTGTATTGTGGAGTATGTTTCCAAGTTTGTATGTATCAAACTTTCTCAAAGTTTTTGATGTAATATTAATTAACGATATTTTTTATATACTGTTTATTTGGCTCATTTAATTAAATTGTGTCATTGTTAATTTGATTTGTAAATATGCAATTACTTTTACTATCATAAGAATGGAACATAAGGAAAAAAGAAAAATAATTTCAAAATATTTGTGAAAATAGATAATTGACATAACTCATTTATTAAAATTTGTTTATTACAATAATGCATGAATAACACTTCTACCGATAACTTTTTTCATTATGATTCTTGTAACATATTATTATTCCATGCAAGTAAGAATCTAGCTCATAGGCTACCGCAAATGCTATGAGCACCTACCATGTAAAATCAATCATCAAAAAGATATAAAAAAAACATTTAACTCATTTATAAATAATAAGAATGCAACTTAATAAAAAAAATAAATGTAATATCAGTATTGATGTTAATGGAATTGTTCATGTCACAACTACTAACACAATTTAAAGCAATATTAACAGATATTTTATGACATTTTTTAAAACAAGAAAGAATACATATTGAACATTCTAAGGCTCATTTGTCGAGACACTTAATTATTTCCAAAACGTCATTTGGTTCAATTTGTGAAGATGGTCAGTTTACATGGGCTTGTGCAAATGTTAGAATAATCACGATTATAATCATAAGTTCTATAGTTAGAATATCATTTTTTTCCCATTTCTCTATGAAAAGTCTTTACAATCTAATTCAATATATATGTACTTTGGTAGTGAAGTTTCAAGTAAAAGAAAGGTTAATTTATAGGCATAAAATACTACATCTCAAATAGTTTAAACTCTTCGACATTATTACATATTAAGATTTTAAAAGATTTTGTAGCACATCAAAATTTGATTTTTATAATTAATAGAATATCTACTAATTAACTGGGGGTGTATTATAACACCTCCAGGTCTCAGCAGTTATATTTCATGAAACTTTATACGGTGAAACTTCACACAACTTCTTGTTAGTTAGTGTAACACCCCGTTTTTTCATAAAATATCATAAGTATTTTATTAATAATTTTGGGATTTTTATTTTATTAATTGAGGTTGTTTACTATTTGTTTTAATTATGTAATATATTTTAGAATATATCATATGATATTTTATTAAAGGATATTATATATTTTATTAAATAAGGGAAGAGAGTTTTTGGAATAATCATGGTTAATATATTTTAACTAGAGGAAGGGAAGTTAGGATTTTAAACGAGGAGTTTTCTAATCAAATCCTTTTTGTACCTCTGTTTTCACATATGCCCTTCAAAGTTCAGAGAACAAGAGCATGAAGGAAATCACTCCAAAGTTGTGCACTTGTCATCTAGAACTTATCTAGGTAAAAGAGGAGTGAGAAATCTTGCTCTAGGTGTGAGAATGATGCTGGATAGTGGGATTAAGCCCAATCTTGTCTTTGTAGCGTGTCTATGTACAAGAGGGTTTTCCCTAAATCTGTCTTTGTCTTCCATGTTTCTATATGGTGTGTCTATGTTCTGATTGATGCAAGTAGTATGAATGTTTTTCTAATTTTTGAGCTTTGCTTGTAATTGTTTATTTTAGTGCTCCCATGAGTTCTTGTTGGAAACCTTAAGGGAATGCATTAGTGATTGTATGAGGAGATGGCATGAGTATGTATCTATGTGTAAATTGTGTCTTTTAGAAGTGTAACTAATCTATGGAGAGGTTTTACCAATTGGATTTGGATTGTAGATGTTAGGGAATGGGGTAGGGAAGGTTAGAAACCCACAAACAATGTAATTTTGTGTACAAGAATGTTGTATCCTGCTTTAAGCGACCAAAGTCTCACTCTAAGAAAATTTATCTTGCTTCAAGCAAATTTAGGCTTGCTTAAGCGAGGTCTAGTAGAGAGTTTCAGGTGGTGCTCACTTCGAACGAGTTTCATCTCGCTTTGGGAGAGTTGATCTTGGTCAAAGTTTGCTCTAAGTGAGCTAATCTCACTTAAGCAAAATATTGGCTTGCTTAAGCAAGTATATGGGCGAATTGGCTTTTGTGGTATTCATGAAAGTTATAACCTTGGATGTTAGCTTTCAAATGTCATTTAAATCACCTAAAAAAGAGCTCTAAAACTCAAGTTATAATCAAATTAGTGAGAAAAGGTCAGATTATCATGTTTAGGATGATATATATATATATATATATATATAGTTAGGTGTTTGGACCATATGATATCATAGAAGATTAAGTTATGTTGTATGTGAGTGTGTAATTGATATGCTTGTGAGCTATGTATGAGTTGTAGTGATGTGATCCCTTATGCCATTGATTACTAATATATAATTGATATAGGTGAATTTTTAATTGCTATATTTAGAATGGTTGATGATTTTACAATATGGGATCAGTTGATAGTTAATTAATAAGATCATGTGAAATATTATGCATAGAGTTTGTTTGACATGCATCATGTGCATAAAATTATTTTGTTGAAGGGTATGATATGAAATATACTGCTAGGGAAGGTCCCTTGTGCAAAAGCTTGGGAGCCACTCTTAGGGATAACCCTGTTTGGAAGTCCCAATTCTACCTTTGTGAGTATAGGATGTATCTTGCACGACTTAGCTATCCCGACCAGGTCCTGATAGTATGTCCTTTTAGTGAGAGTACATAGAGGTTGTGACTTGACATGCACTGTGACACCATGTCAACTAATTGGCAAACTGAAATAAGGTTAGTGGTGAGATCAGGGGAAACATAAACATTGGTAAGAGATGAGGAGATATCACCAAATTGTTGTGATAGGTAAATTATTTCCCCCATTATCAGAATGCAGAATTTTAATTTTTGATAATAAAAAATTGAGCGTTAACATAGGCATGAAAAAAATTGAATGCAGAGAATGCATCATCTATATATAGAGCGCAAAAATTAGACTCATGTGAAGCGATATAGTCATCAATAAAAGTAATTAAGTAATTGTAATGTGCATGAGATATAACAAGTGTTATTCCCCATAAATCACTATGAATCATTTCAAAAAGATGATTGATATTTGATTGATGAATTAGACATGGTAGAATTTTACTTTTACCAACTTTACAAGAAGGACAATCAAATTGAATAGTACTAAGAGATGGGAAATTTTTATTGCCAAGAACGCCAGATTTCATCAAGTCATGAAGTACATTGGAGTTTGCATGACCAAGACGCTTATGCCATGTTTAGAAATTAACAATTGTAGAATTACAAGAAATAGAAGACAAAAAAGAACATTGAGACAACAATGAATAAAGAGGAAAAAAGACATCCAAATTTAGGCCCCTTCGTGATCATTGTCCCTAAGTGTTGATCCTTCACAAGACAACTAGATTTTGAGAATTCAACTTTACAATTATTGTCAACTAATTGGCAAACTGAAATAAGGTTAGTGGTGAGATCAGGGGAAACATAAACATTGGTAAGAGATGAGGAGATATCACCAAATTGTTGTGATAGGTAAATTATTTCCATCAGCGGTGTGTATTTGCAAATTACCAAATTAATTGGTAACATTGGAAAGGGCAACAACATTGTTGGTTATATGATTGCATGCCCCAGAGT